GCTCTGGCTGCAGGCAGGGTCCGGAGAGCCCTTTGGGGGGATGTCAGTAGGTGGCTTTTGGTCTCCAAACCGGGATGAGGGTGGGGTGGGCAGGGAAAGGGACAGGACGTGATGGGCTGCCATGTCCCACCAGGGTGAGGGCCTCGAGCTGGCTCTGCTGCACGGCCGGGAAAGCAGCTGAGGTGGCTGGGGTACCCCGAGGGCCTTGTGGGCAGCTGGCACAGCCTCTTAGCACCCTCCCTTACCCCTCCTGCAGCTGAGCTTGCCAGCCTCCTGGTGCGCAGCATCAGCTACGAGATCCCCTCGCTGAGGAAGCAGATCAGTCGGTGCCAGCAGGCCCAGCAGGACTTTCCCCGCCGCGAAGAGGAGTGTCAGCTGGGGGCTACCGAGCTGCGGGAACGATTCTTTGCCTCCTGCAAGCAGTACGGCATCACTGTGAGTCCTTGTGGCTGGCCCCGCTGCAGAGGTGGTCCTGCTGTACCACTTTCCTCCCCAAAGCAGCCACCAGTCACCATCATTTGGCTTCAGCAGGGCTCAGCCTGGGACCACGTGTCCCAGAGGATGTCCCTGCTGTGCCACCTTACCTGCAAGAGGAGCTGGGGTGTGTAGGGTGACCCCACAGTCCTCTGTCCCCTTCCTGCCCACGTCTAGCCCTGCAAGCAGAGGGTGAAGCTGCCCCGGGAATGCTTTGGCTGCCAGCCTCCCTGCCCTGACGCATCTCTGCTCTGTCCCCAGGGTGACAACGTGCGCCAGGAGCTGCTGGCCTTGGTGAAGGACCTGCCGTCAGTGCTGTCCGAGATGGGGGCGGGAGCCAGCGCTCTCTCCGAGGCCATCGAGCTGTACCAGGCCTGTGTGGAGTTCGTGTGCGAGAGGTGGGCAGGGGGTGGGTATGGGGGCGCAGGGATAGACCCCCCCATCTCTTCTCACCGTGTGTGGGGACAGCGGGTTGGGCTGGTGGCTGCACCCAGCCTGGGGCTCTCCCAGAGGGACCCTGGTGGGGTTGGGGGGTGCTGCAGGGGTCATAGCCCTGCACCTGGCACTGATGTCCCTGCGGTGGCTGCCAGCTTGGCAGAGCTGGTGGTGCCCCTGCTGCGGCACGTGGGGAGGAGAGGCAACACGACTGTCTACGAGTGGAGAACGGGGCTCCAGCCCCTGCGAGTGGAGCGGCCGGAGGTGGAGGAGATGCCGGAGCAGCCGAAGGAGGACACGGTACGTCCTGGCAAGCCAGGGCCGAGCTGTGGTGCTGGGGAGAGCCCCAGCTGGCTCTGCCATGTGTTGGTTGGGGTTAGGCTGTTTTCCCCTGGGGTTTCAGGGGGTCTGTTGTCCTTCTCCCTGTAGATTGACTGGGGAGACTTCACGCTGGAACCAACTAGGGTGGATGACTGTGCCACTGCCAACGGAGGAGCCCAGGATGAGGAGATCAACTGGGGGATCACACTCGAGCCCAGTCCCCAGGTGCATGACTACTGGCTGTGTGATTCTGGGGTCTAGCCCTGCTCCAAGGCTGGGCTGGGGACTTAGGGGTGTCCTGGGCACCCGCATCTCACGGGGTGCCCTTTCTTTTTGCAGCAGGATGATGGCATTGACTGGGGTGATGGTGAAAGCAAGGAGGTACAGATCACAGTGCTGGAGGCTGGCACCGAGGGTAAGCATGGCTGCTAAGGGACATAGGGGGGCCCAACCGGGGCCCACCCTGCCTTTACTCCCCCTTCCCTGCCTGCAGTGACCCTGGGCACCCTAGCTGTGCACAAAGACCTGTTGGGGACAGAGCAGAAGGCAGCGTGGTGCTGGGCAGGTGCTTGTTGGGTGCTGGGTGGGCAGAAGCAGAGCCCTGACCCCATTGAACGGTGCCACGGGGTGATGCTGAGCACCCTGTACAGGATGAGTTGGGGTGGGGAGGTATGACCAGACTGTCTGAGCCGTGGAGATCCCTTCCCTGTCCCACTTGTCCCCCAGTGCCCGAGGGGGTTGCCTGCGGCTCTGATGCCCTGACGCTCCTGGAAAACACCGAGACCCGGAGTCAGTTCATTGATGAGCTCATGGAGGTGAGTACGATGCAGGCGCCGGGGCTGGAGCTGGGTAAGGGGCAGCTCTGGGGGCATCCCACTGT